TAAATGATGTAAAAATATACTTGAGTGAATTTCTTTCTAGGGAAAACTGCTTTGTATTTATATTACAGAGATGACATAAATCCCACAAATACCAATGCAGTCAGCCAATTTCCCACCATAATAAGATACCAGGCCATAATCACCCTACAAACCTGGGGGAAAAAAAGTTTTATGGTTTTTAACAACTTGATCTCTGTTACATCTTTTAAGAAAAAACAGCTGACATTAACTTTTTATATTATAAAAATATTGACACATTTCTGCCTCAATGAAAATTTAATTTCAGACAAAAATACCACCGTTTCATGACTTTTTAGCACTTAGACATAACTAATACTAGCTTCACTAATATTTAAGATACCATGTGAACTACATTTAACATGTTACTTACAAAGTAGAAACAAACAGAGCAGAAATGAAAAACGTGAAATACTTGCGATTATACCAAATAGGAAAATCATGTCATTAATAAACAGACATTAGTTCATGAAATTGGTGAAGCCATGAATGGGAAGATGTGCTAACATTCTGACAGGTAACACAGCTATGAGGCTAAAAGCAATACTAAAGCCCTAAAGAGACAGATTTCACAAACGACAACAAAATACAAATAAATTAAGATTCTCTATGAAACTGGAAGAAAGCCAATAGCAATCACTCTTTAAAAATAAATATAAATAAGCAGATCGATTACTTTGTTATGGAAATGCTACTCTGTTACGGAAATGCAGTGAAAGATTATCTGCCTGGAACTGATACTTTTGCGGATGACCTCCAAAGAGACTGACTTGTATTTTTGCGATACATTCTGAAAACCCAATGTAGCTACAAAGCAACGAATTCAGAGCAAATTACCAATATTATATGCTTCTAGCCATTCAGCCACAGGTATGCTAATATACAGTTTTTTTATTGATTAAGCTACAGAGTGAACAGTTTTCCAGGCCAGGCTCATCGAAAGGTGCTAGTAAGTATAACAAGGCAGGAATGGTCTTCCCCGTGGATCTAAACGATACAATGTAGAAAAAAATTTCATTTAAAAATAGAAATTTAAAGCATTTATAAAATCCTGTTCTATCACTCAGACAGGAAAATTAACATAAGTATCTCTTACCAGTTTTCTTCTCCCTTAAAAACCCACCAAAGGGCAAATGGTTAAGATTGCTGAATACCGGTAGTCCAACCTGGATTCAAACTTCAGTGAATGAGATAGCTTTACAGCTGGCTTTTCTTCATATGTAAAGTCAATACCAGTAACCTTTTCTTAGACAGTACACAACAAAGGCACTCCTCCCCTTAGACAAGCAGCCCTCACCTTCTTTGTTACATTTGAATAAACCTAACCCCTTCTCTTAAAGGTTTGGTTTATTTGATTATGGAAAAGCAAGCAGGGGCTATCTACCTGAGACAAGAGATGCCTTTGAGGTGCACTTTATAAGGGAAACTGGCTAGTATACACATTTAACATGGGAAAAACCATAAAAACAACTATTCAGCCACCCAATGCTTTACAGGCTAGTGTGCTTATCTTTGCTCTTCACTTGCCTGCCTAAAGATGTATGTAATAATATTAAATGGCACTTGTCAATAATGTGACATACAATGTACCAATATATATATTATGTTTTTCTTTCAACTGAAATATAATCACTTTGGTCATCCAAACTTTCAAAAAATAATTTTACAAAGAAAAATTAACAATATCTATAAAAGTAACATTTCAAATGCATGAATCAAGCATTAATGAATTCTAAATTCTGTGAAAATTATACAAGGAAATATTTAATCTTTGCATAGCAGTAAAAAAAAAAAAAAAAAAAAAAAAAAAACATTCCCTACTAAGTATTTTATTTGACTGTTTTATAGGAATACTTTTACAGAGTCATAAAAACTTATTTCAAGTTAATTTAGTGCAATTTTTGAACAAGTATCTACACTGGAAAATGTCTCTTACAATTTAAAGATGTAAATGAAGATGTTTAATTCCTATATGTGTGAACTGAGGTATTCATTTTTTAGTTCAAAGAAAAATTAACAAAACCTAACAAAACTAACATTTTTAATGTACGGATCAATCATAAATGAATTCTAAATTCTGCGAAATTTATGCAAGTAAAGATGCAATGTTTGCATAGCACTGAGAAATATATTCATTTATGAATTTTAAATTCTGTGGAAATTATACAAAGAAACATGAAATCTTCACATAGTACTAAAAAAATATTCACTACTATTAAATATTTTATTTGACTACTTTTTAGAAATACTTTTACAAACACAAAAACTCATTTCAATTTAATTTAATACATTTTTTGAACAAGTATCCATAATGGAAAAAAGCCTCCAAAATTTAAAGCTATGAATGAATGTTTAATTCTTATATGTACAAATTGAGATTTTTTTAATTCCAGGTGAAATGTCAGTTATTACTTAAATTATGCATTTTTTAAATAATTTATAGGAAATTTTTATAATGGTAAATTTATTAGATTATATAAGTAAGTCACTTCACAATAATATGTTTTGGATTAATGCACTTTACAAAATTCTGTTTTTCTTAAAATGTTTATGCTTTATTAAAAAGAGACAATTAGTAACATTCACATTTAAATAGCCCATAAGTTTTTAATGAATATCTGCACTTACTTTTATTATTTTTTTTACATAAAAGCTCAGATATAAAGAATTCATCATTAGCCTGTGCTTTTCATTGCTCTGCCCACCTCCCTTTAAAAACTTACTTATGATAAGATGAAATCATGCAACATGGCTAGGCTTTAAAACAGATCACCTTTAAAAATATTTTACTTAATTACATTTTAGTGGGAGAAAGGCACTGACAGTTTATGAAAACACATTTATAAACCTTTAACTTTCCTACTAATCAACACCCCTCATTAAACAATAGAAGGAAGGTGCTTTCCAAATGTATCAATGGTTATTATAAACTAAAGGAAAAATAAGTTCGAAATGAAAATTATGATAATAGTCATATAAATCTTAAACATAAATGTTTAAATTTTAAAAAAAAATTAATTACATTACATACGAGCCATTTAATACTTCCAAGTGCCAAAAAAAGGGATTCATATTAAAAATATAGGAGGGGATAACTTTCGTGGAAGATTTTTTAAGAGATCTCTTTCTACATTTATTTTTTATATTTTCTTTTTTTTTTTTCTTTCTACATTTATTTCTTTTTTATAAAAACATAATCATTTAAAAAAAGGGGGGGCACACAGCCACATTTTACACAGGAGAAATCTATCAATGTTCAATAATTTATTTGCTTGGCCAGCTGATGAGCATTCAGTCAAGAAAAAAATACTTTAGTTCAAGGAAAATAATTTATTAAATTACAGATTTCTTTATACAAAGTGATAACCTCACATGTTTCACTTAAATTCAGTTAAAAGTTCAGCAAATCTTTCATGCAGAAAAGCTGAATTAAATGATACAAAATGTATTTCTTCACAGACTTACAAAACCTAAAGCTTTATTATACATTCATGACAATATAACTAAACAAAGGTTAATAAATAAATCTTATCTGATTAATTACTGCTTAAAAATACAAGTTTTAACTTAAAATTTATATTAAAAAATATACTATGTCATCACCACTTTAAATATATATTTTTAAATAATCCAATTTTTTTTTTTTTTTCCCCAATAATTTTCAGTTTCTCTCTGGTAGTCAAAACTGGACATTTTTAAGAATACAAAAATATTCAACCATCTTTATTAAATCACTCTACATGCTCAATTAATATTTCAACATAAAAATTAATATTTATCAAACAAAAAGATTTGTTATCTAATAAATCATAATATATATGTCAATTCCTTAATATACATGGTATAATTCACAACTGTCTATGAACAGAAACATGCTAACTAAATCACATGCACACCAAATAAACAAATCCTGAAATTTCTATGCATGATTTAATTAATACTTTCATCTCCTAACATTTTTTCTCAATAGAAAGCAGTAATTTTTTTATGTAAATGATTGCAATTTTTTCCTACCCCATTTGAATAAAGTTATGTTGGAACACTTGATAAACAATATAAGAAACCCATAAATTTAATCACAGTATGCCTTTCTAAAACACAAACTTATTACAACGAGGAAATGATTTTTAATCAGCATTTCAATCATTCTAAAACTTTTGCAACATGTGCATACAAGAATTTTACATTAGTGTGGTGAATATACTAGAAAACATTCTTAAATTTTATTGGTTAACTATGAAAATTAAAAATAAAACCACTGAATTGAACATAATATTCAAAGAATGTTTATGGAAAGCTGATATTACACGAGTACATCAAGTAAGATTTTTAATCCGTATTTCAATCATTCTAAAATTTATGCACCATGTGCACACAAGACTTCTACATTTAGTTTAGAGAATGTACGAGAAAAATTAAATTTTATTGTTTAACTACGAAAATTAAAAATCGAAGCACTTAAATACACATAACATCCAAAAAACTTTTATGGAAAGTAAATTTCACACGAGTACACGAACGATAACATGTTGTATTATATATCAACGGCCGAAACCTATAAAATATAAAGATGAAAAAAACAGATGCAAGCATAGTTATATAATTAATTTCTTGGTAAAACAAACACATATTTTCGAGAAATCTCTTTTATAGATGGTTTCTATGATGTGGACAATAAAATGTATGCTTGAAATGAACTACGTTTCCCACGATAAAATTATCATTAACAGCTCAAAACAGCACAGTATTCACCTCATATGACCGCTATTATTTATAAATTAAATTATTATTTGCATGACAACTAAAACATAATTTAAAACTTAATAAATTTTACGAATGTACGACTGAAGTAGGTAAGTGTTTGTAACGCGATCTACTGTGGTGAGTGCAGATTTAAGAAACGATGATTGCATAAATGATGATTCATTACAGAATAAATAACATAAATAAAGATATAATTATTTTTTTCAACCAAAACTCACCTTGCCCTTGATCATGGTAGTGCACTTCGGAAGTCATGGCCAAGTCACAAGTCTACACCAATCAGAAATCAACAAAGTAACCCTTAATCCATATAAACATGCTTGAAAACAAATTCAATAACATTTTGAAGAATATATTTACTTTAAATTAATTGTACAGCTTACCATAATTAACAAACTAGACACTCAATATTAAAATGCAAAAAATTGTGACGATGTGGCAGTCACCCGATTCGCCTCTACAAATTAAGCTAATGTACATTTATAGAACAAAATTTCAACATCTAAAAGCACTACTTGAGCAAAAATCATTTAGGTTAGTCATATTTAATCATCAAAATCGTAGCCACATTCCAGGAATACTGGAGTGGTATTCAATCCTTCTGGAGGCTAAGATTTTAGTTACATTAGCAGCCGGTTTCAAGCCTTCAGGCTTCGGCCTCAGTAGACCCACACGAACACGTACGTATCCGGGCAAACCGCAGTCGCAGTACCCCGTACGGAACAGCCAGAAATGTGCGGACAGCATGTCCAGCCCACGTCACACCCATTGATTAATTTGTCTTTGAAAAAGAGGCTCATCGGAGGTCTAGAAAATTTATACGCTACCTCCGCCATGGTGAGATCTTTTAGTCGCCCCAATATCTAATTCTGAGTCCAATGGCCTCTTCCTAGAATCCCCAAATTCAGATTCAGTACCACCATTCACACCTCCTAGAGCAGTCGCCATCTTCAGTGCAGAAGACATTATCTCATGACGTCACTAACTACGTCATCAAGAAGGATTTAGAGTTTGTATATAACTTTCTACATATTAATCGTTTTGAGTGCAGTAAAATCGATATTTTCATCAATATTTTATATTCCACTTTTTTTAAAAAACACTATGTAAAGGTTTAATTAAAGCACAGTAATCCAGCTGATTTATATGCCAGCTGACTAGAACTTGGATACCGGAAGTATTATTTAACACTATTTCCGGCTTATGGACACGTGGTTCAGTGTATCGGTGCTCCCAACTCGTACACAGATTTACATGATGTACCGTTGGTTTGATACATTGAGTTTGGTGATTTTTGTTAAGAACTTTTTTTTTTGTAAAGTTTTACCCCTTTTTGAGTGTCATTTAATTAGGAAGTGTATGCTGTATAGTTCTTCTTCTGTAAATAATAATTTATAAGTTTTTAAATTATGTTCTTTTAATCTTTGCCAGACGTAAATAATCACACACTAACATTTTCGTGTAATCTTGATTAAATACATCATGTAATAGTAATAATAATAGTACTTCCTACATTGAGCAGAAAAGTTTCAGCGTCAGACCAGCAGGATGTATTTTAAATATTTAATGCTCATGTGGTTTAGATTTATAATATGTAGCATTTCGGTAAACGAGTGTGAAATACGTACGAATTTGTGCGTAAGGTTGTGTTCTTAATAAATATCATGATTTAATAATTCGCTATGCACGCCCCGGTTTTTATTATGCAGAATTATGACTTTCATTTGAGCTAAGTCAAAATGTATTTTACTTAATGTTCTTTTAAGCAGGGATCAAAGAACTGTCGAAAAACTGTTTTTTAAATTATGTGTAGAATACCAAATATTTACAGTTGTGAAACCTGTAACAAAATTAAAATGTACCTGTCTAATAAATCAGAGTGCTTTACATTGCATATTATAGCTTTGTTATAGGATTTATAATTTTATCTTAAATAGTTATTGTACGATTATTAACTATGGCAATTTTTTTTAACTTGAGGACATAAAACTAGTGCGTAATGCATAATTTTCATTTCAATTCAGTATCGAAGGCTCAGCTTTCTTTTAGCTTTACAATTCTGAAATTTATAAGTCTTACGTATTTTAAAACAGGAAATTTCATGATCATATCAGTGTTCAGATTTATTTCTTCAGAAAAATTTTGAGACTTATTTTTGGCATTTTAAATTATTTTTGTGAATTTTATATTGTACTTTTTGCCATTTAAAATACAAAATTATGTATGTATATTTAAAATGACAATCTTGGTGTCAATCAGCACTTGTAAAAAGTTATGTTGTGTAGGAAATGTTAAAAGCAGGATTACTTTCATGTTAGAGGTGCTTTCAAATCTAAAGAAAAATAATAGTGCAGAAAGTTATAATTTCACTTTCAAAATGTATTAGCTACTTAGCTGTAGTCTTAGATATGGACAAAATTGCTATTCATTGCTTCTGTTTCATTCCATCTTTTGTCTCCTATGTATGTGCTACAAAATAAAATTCAAAATTTGTTTTTGCTACAGGATAAATTTAATAATTATTTGGTAATCTATATTTTTATTAATGGGTATTCAGTAGCATATTTGTTTGTGTTTAAGTGAACCCTGTATTCTGTTTGATGATTCATTTCATAAGGTAAATATTTTCATGTGACTCAGGGCAAATTCTACAAAGTTCTTATCCTTTCACATCTTGCTATGATGATTTTAAGTTTGTAAATAATCATACATCAGCTTACCAGTAGCTAAGTGGCTATTTTAACCATAGAACACATAGCTCATTCTAGTTTGTACTTTGCAATAGTGAAATTTGTGTATATATTTACATGCAGGTTTTCATAGTTTTCACATACATGTAAATTTCTCATTGATGTCTATCAAATGCACATAGCTTTTGAGCGGTTTCACATAATTATAATTTAATGGCAGTATGTTCCAATTTTAATGCTGTTCATCTATGAAGAAGATAAAAGGGTACTTTCTGATTATTTGGAAGTGGGGCTTAAACTTCAAATAAAATTACCGATTTTTGTTTGATATGTTTGAATACATATGCAGAATAAATAACCCATATACACCCGTACAACATACTTGTTTAAGTATACGCTGACTTACTCACTTTATATTGAAGTCATTTAGCTAAACAGTATTTACTTTCTGTAAAAATGTACATATTGATGACCTGCAGCAGAAGAATGCCAAAAATTTTAGCAGTTTTGATATTTCATATTATAATTTTATAATTACCAAATATTTTTACAGAATGTATCTGAAAACAGATAAATATAAGACAATACAGACAAAGAAAAAAATTAAAACATTTTGATGCATTCTTTTTATAATATAAATGTTCATTTTCCTTGCTTTGCACGTGACACTGTCATTTCGTCTGTTAATTATTTAAAATTTTCACATTCTATGTCTTAATTAGAAATTAAAGTTAATGACCTAAAACTGCAATAGTATATTACAGTACAAGTGAAAAAACTGACAGTTTTACTCACGAGTGTGTCGGATTTGCACAATACTTATGGGGTCCCACAAAATTTTTGCAAATATTATAAGGACCTGGGGGTCACGAAAAACTCTCAGTGATAAAATGGGGTCGAGACTGAAAAAAGTTTAAGAAACCCCGATATAGATTATCATAAAATTTATTGTTTGTTATAAAATGCTTTATTTTATCTTTATTTAAAAATGGAACAGTACCTAGTAGGTGTAAAGAAAGCCAATCAAATGTTTTTTGCCATTCACAAAATTGGCAGTGATTTGGTGACTTTTTATGAGGGTGCGGATAATCAGAAAAGTACCAATAACAGTTTACTGCTCACCTTACTCATATCCTTCACCTAGCGCATAGTATAAATTTCAAAACAATCTTCCTGAACATTAAAAATCCTTTCAGGCATGTCAGTTGTCTACCTTAATGTTGTAGAAAGCTTGTACTTTTACTAACTCTATGTGAATACAGATTGTATCTATCTTTGCTATTTATTGCATAAATTATATCATAATAATACTTGAAATGCCATTAGAGCATACTAAATATTTAATATAATTTATCCTTCTAAAAGTTTTAATGTATTTTATTCATAGAATTTTCATGTTCCATTTCTTTAAGCATGGATTTCATGTTTATTTTGTTGTTTTAAAATTTAAAGCACATAGTAAAATTAACCATAACTGTTGTGTTTTTTAATGTTGATGTAACTTACAAAGACCATCGGTCATCATCTGACAAGATTTAGGTATTTTTATTTTAAATAAATTCTTTAAATATATTCTTGACCATGAAGCTACTGTAAATTATTTCAAGATTTTCTTGTTTTCTAAAATTATAATCAAGTAGCTTATATTTTATTTACATTAAAGTTTGATAAAAGCATGATGTTGATATTCTGTTCAAAGATACTTTAGGAAAAAAGTGATTACTATCCACTGAAGATTTTCATTGTATATTTTAAGTTGAATGACATTAAATTATCACTTTACTCTGTGGTATTTTGTAACATGCTTAAATTCTGACTGTGAATTTTTTTTTTTAAAACATGTATAAAATTTCCGTCATTAAAAACATTAATTTTTTTTAGAAATTTAGTATGCAAATATTAAAAGAAATACTGTTTTTCAAAATCAAAGCCCTTTGCAGTAAAATTTGTAAGAGCTATACATTTGTGGCAAGAAAGAGTTTTTCTGTAGTGATGTAACTGAATGACTGAAAGGTGTGTTTATCATTTATCAGTAGCATTAACCTTCCGAGCATTATGGGTTTACCCCAAAATTTCAAAGTTCCTCAAAATGTGTTGAATAAGTGGTATTTTCTTGGTTTTAATTAAAAAGTGACTTTGTATCTTGATTCCTTTTCTTCCAGTTTACATCAAAACTGAAATCAGATACAATAACCCATTCAGTCCTAATTTATTTGTTTAAACGTAAAGATATGGCATATGCTCCCCTTATAATAACCAAATTCACTAAGTCTCTATAAGAAGATGCACACGACAATTTTTATATCTCTCCCACATGTGTGTAATTCCCTCTAGGCTTGTTTAAACATCTACTGGGACTTATATAACCTATTGGGACTGGAAATGTTAAAAGCTCGCAAAAATTTTCATGTGTAATGAATAAGAAGCCAGCTTTTTATATGGAATTTTCCATCCAAAATGCTGAGAGGGTTAAATTTAATGCTTGAGAAAAATAACATTTTTAATTATAAATTTCATTTGTTCATGGGAGAAATATTGTCCAGTATAACTGAGTTAGAGAGAAACTGAAATTTCTTGGGCAAAAATACTTAATTGAACTTTTAGTTTATTTTCTGTAAGGATAACACGAATTATAAATTTAGTATTTCAATATGAAATATTCTGAACATCATTGTACATGTAGATATTTTCTCACACTGTATATATGTCAAAGCCATGTGTGCATTTGACAATGTTACTTAATGTATGTGGCATGTAATGCAGTGTATGGAAAGAATAGGATTATGATGGATCCAGACATCAATAAACAAAATGTCAGTGTCACTTTGTTATGGTTCTGGTGTGTTCTGTGAAGTAATTGCAGCTTAAAACAACTTGTATGAGATGCAAAAGTATGCGCTAATAATATTCTGTAACTGATGTAAATTTGGTACTCGTTTTTATCAGAAATAGAAATACTCTTGTATGATGCAGGGTGTACCAGAATTCAAGATAAAACCTCTACAGAAACTTGCAAAAAGTATACATTGGCTCAAAAATTTATATATAGGTAATGTGAGGAAACATGGGTAAGTACATAGGGAACTAAGACGAGATATAACATTCGAGTATAACATAGTTGCTATAGTCAATAAATTACATTAGATATGATATTGAGATACTGGGTGTGGTGCTGTTTGCATAGAAGATTTGCACAAAAAAGTGGCACCATAATGGTATATTGGTATATTTAATTATGGCATAGCACACTAGGGCTATCTGCCTAAGGGGAGGGATGCCTTCGTGGAGGACTTTCTAAGGGAAACTGGCTCGTATACAC